TTAAAAACTAGATAAGGGGCTAGAGCAATAGCACAGCGGGGAGGGCATTGGCCTTGCATGCGGCTGACCGGGTTCGATTCCCAGCATCCCATAGGGTCCCCTGAGCACCGCAGGGGGTGATTCCTGAGTGCATGAGCCAGGAGGAACCCCTGTACATCAGTGGGTGTGACCCAAAAAGCAAAATAAAAAGAACCCTTGCTTGGGGCTGGAGCGATAGCACAGCGGGGAGGGTGTTTGCCTGGCACGAGGCCGACCCAGGTTCGATTCCCAGCATCCCACAGGGTCCCCCAAGCACTGCCAGGAGTGGTTCCTGAGTGCGGAGCCAGGAGGAACCCCTGAGCATCGCCGGGTGTGAACCGCCCCCCCACCCCCCACCGAAAAAGAAGACAGATGAAGTGGGGGAGATCAAATCAGGTCAAAGCAGCAGCCTGATTCTGTGTGATCTCCACACCCTGGTACTTTTTCACCGCCATGGAATGCCACGGCTTTTTGCTTTTTGGGTCCACCTGGAGATGCTCAGGGGTTACTCCTGGCTCTAGCACTCAGGAGTCACTTCTGGTGGTGCTCAGGGGACCATATGGGATGCTGGGATTCAAACCTGGGTTGGCTGCATGCAAGGCAAATGCCCTACCTGCTGTGCTATCGCTCCAGCCCCAAGGAGCGAATAGCTTTAAGTTGCCAAAAACAGTTTCAGGGGCAACAATTTAAGAGATTACTGTCATTGTCACTGTTCTCCCGTACTAACTGGATCAAAAGGTCCCTGAGCTGCGGGGCAGATCTGTCGGTGGCTGGGACCTGGGTTCTCTCCAGGAACTGACCTGCAGGCCTCTGGGCAGGATGGTGTTCTTCCGGAGGGAGTTGATACGCAGCCGCTCATCCGCATAGTCAAACGCCATCTTCCGTCTCTTTACGTCTCGTAACATCTTCCAGTCGACGTAGTAACTTCGAACTTGTCCTGCAGCTGATGCCGGGTCCACCTAGGGGACAGCCACAGGCAGCATCGAGGACAGTCAGGCTAGAGTCCCAAGCCCTGTCGATCCTCTCTATTGAGGGCTTTTGTGTTGGTTTTCTGGGGCCACGCTTGATGATGCTCAGGGTTGACTCCTGGCTCTGTGCTCAGGGATGGGATCACGCCTGGCTCTGCACTCAGGGGTGACTCCTGGCTCTGGACTCGGGGATCACTCCTGGCTCTGGACTCGGGGATCACTCCTGGCTCTGGACTCGGGGATCACTCCTGGCTCTGGACTCAGGCACCACTCCTGGCTCTGGACTCGGGGATCACTCCTGGCTCTGCACTCGGGAATCACTCCTGGCTGGGCTCTGGGGACCCCATGGTTCAGGGGGGATCCCATGGGGTGCCAGGGATCAAGCCTGGGTCAGCTGCAGGCAAGGCAAGGGAGGACCCAGAACTTTTTTAAAAAAGTAACTGGGGGACGGGGGAGCTAGAGAAATGCTATGGAGGTTAAGTCCCGCTGATTCCTATCTTTTCTATGAGAAAAAGAAAATTGGGGTGTGCCTCCAACCGGTGAACGTGGGGGAGGGGGAGGCAGCAATTCTTAACCCACGGAGCGTTTTGAGGGGAGAAAAGCTCAGCCGGTGGGGCCAGGGCCGGGTTCAGCTGGGTCCTCCAGGTCCCCATTTTCAAGGGTGCAGAGCCCGTGCCTTTAGGGAGTCCCAGGAAGGCTTTAGCACCGCCCCCAGGCCCAGGCCCCGCCCCCAGGATTCCGGCCAGGCCGCGGGGCCAGCTCAGGAGCACGGGGGTCTTCACGCTCCCAGCCCCGTGCCAGGGGGTCGTGCTGCAGCCCGCCCGCGCGCCGGGCCGAGAAGCATCAGGCGCGCTGCGTCCTCGCTGCTCCCGGTCTCGGGGGTCTCGGGAACCCCTGGCTCGGCCCACCTGCAGCCACGCTAGCGGCGGGGTCCCGGGAGCAGGGGAGAGGGCGAGGTGAGGCCTGACCTGCAGAAGCTTCCGCAGCAGCGAGCCCCACATGGAGGCCGCCATCTTGACGGCCGCTACGTCCAATCGCTGCGACCTCGGGCGCGGGTCCGCGAGGAGTGACGCCGCGAGGGGCGGGGCCTGGGCGTCGGGGCGGGCCCAGAGCTCGGGGGCGGGGCCTGGACCTCGGGGCGGGGCTAAAGCGGCCCTGGGGCTCCCTAAGGGCGCGGGAAGAGAAGGTTTGTGTTCCCCAAAGCAGGGGATTTGGTCACTGTCTTAGGCTCGATGCCGAGACCCTAACAGGGGACCATGTGGGATGCTGGGAATCTAACCTGAGTTGGCTGCAAGCACGGTGAATGCCCTCCCCACTGTGCTATGGCTCCAACCCCCTCACTTTTGTTTTCCCGCTTTTGTCCCACACCTGGAAGTGCTCAGGGCTTCTTCCTAGCTCCCTGGCTCTGTGGTCATCGATCAGACCTGACGGAGCTCAGGGAACCCAGTAGGGTGCCAGAAATCAAACCCAGGTTACCCACGTGTAAGGCAAGCACCCTCATAGAGACAATAGCCCCAACACCCCCCACCCAACTTGGTCTCTTAAGAAACTTAAGAATTTGGGGACGGAGCCTTAGTCGAGCAGTGGGGGCATTTGCTTTGCATGCGACCAACCTGGGTTTAATCCCTGGCATCCCATATGGTCCCCTTGATGTAGGCAGGTAGATAGGGAAAGGCTCTCTGCAATGAAACAAAGTCTCATAGAAGAATTCTAGGACCAACCCATCCTGTGGAGACAGAGAATAAGGACTTGATAAGACCATCCCCAGACCCTGAAGATATGGGCCTCCTCCTCATGAAATTCCTCCTTTCCAAGAACCCCCCTTTCAATCCGGTTGACTCCAGCGACCCAGCCCCAAGGTGATTCCAGGACATTCCAAGTCAGATGACTCTCGAACCCGCTTTCTATCCGGTTGACTCCAGCGACCCAGCCCCAAGGAGATCCCAGGACATTCCAAGTCAGATGACTCTCGAACCCGCTTTCAATCCGGTTGACTCCAGTGACCCAGCCCCAAGGAGATTCCAGAACATTCTGAGTCGGAAGGATCTATAAGAACCAGCTCGAGAGCCCACTTGGCGCTCTCTCCACCCTTGGAGAAGCCCGCGTTCCCTCTGGACGCGTTACTCTCTCTCTCTTCCTCTCCATTCCCCCGCTTATCTGCTCATCCCTTCCTCTCCCTCTCCAAAAGCCTCCAAATAAAACCTGTTACTTCACTGCTCGTCTACTCCTGAAATTCTTTTCTGCGAGCGAGACAAGAACCCCAGAAACCTCGGGTAAGGCTTGGGACTGGTCCCTCCTTTCCTGTAAAGAGCAAATTCTCGCCCCAGCTTGAGTCCGTGGCTCCCCGAGCAATCGGGTGGCGGGGATTAACTCCCGTGCCGAGAAGACCAAGCGGACTTCAGGTGTGGCTTGACGGCCACCTCGTGGGGCTGGCGGGGCTCAGGCCCGTGCCGAGCAGGTGCTCACTGCAGACTTTACCGGTCCTAGCCTACCCAGGGTTCCGGGTGGCAGAGGTGGGTGGGGAGAAAGTGGCCGTCTTTCTCCTCCCCACTTCACATAAGTCACCCGTGGGGCCCACCGACATCAGATGGCGACCACGAAGGGATAGAGCAGTGAAGGAATCCACGAGGAAGGAGGTAATCTGTGGAAAATCTGCTGTGGAGGTATGCTCCCTTGGAAATCTCTAGGGGGGAAGGGGGAGGAATGTGATAACCTCTGTGTGAGTGTGTGTGTGTATGAGCACCCTGATAGGAAAGCCCACTAGTGAGAAGAACCTGGGAAAACTGAGGCAGATCAATTTCTAGGTGGAAATCCCTTTTCCCAAGCAGAATCAGCTAGAGGTCAATTCAAATGCTAATGGAGGCAGTCAGCAGGTTTAGCCCTAGGCAAAGTGAAGCAGAGAAATAAAAAAAAGAGGTAAAAGACAGGCAAGAAGTTTGTGGAAGAAAGCGTCAGCAGGGAGCATTGGAATATGTGGCAAGCTAAGAGAGGCAGAACTTTTCTCTTCTCCCCTTAATAGGCTTCTTGGAAACCCATGGCACTCTAGGTATGGCTCCACACGTGTGAGCCATGGTCGTGTGGACGCTCGGGAGGCAGGCCCCAAGGGACGCCTGGGGTACCTCAGAAATCTCTAAAGGAGACGTCCTTTAAAGAGAGATTTTTCTGATGGGCCGGCATGCAGTTGTGGTCCTGTCCGCGCCCTCTGTCTAGAACCACAACACCACGGGCCGGCATGCAGTTGTGGTCATGTCCGCGCTGTCTCTAGAACCACAACACCACGGGCCGGCATGCAGTTGTGGTCGTGTCCGCGCCCTCTGTCTAGAACCACAACACCACGGGCCGGCATGCAGTTGTGGTCATGTCCGCGCAGTCTCTAGAACCACAACACTAGAAACTATTAGGAGGAGAGCTTGCTAAGGAATTATTCTACCCTAGATTTTTCTTTTTCCTCCCTCTCATAGGTTATTGCTGACACTTAGGAGATATGGGAAATTCTACATCAGTACCTAAACATTCTCCTTTGGGTTGCTTGTTAAAACACTGGAAGAGCCTGAAGCTAGATAGCTTAAGTAAGAAATATCTTGTTGACCTCTGTAACACCATGTGGCCTGAGTATAAGCTAGAACTTGGGGAAAGATGGCCAGTGAATGGCAGTTTGAATTACCAGATCATTTTGCAGTCAGATCTTTGCAGGTAACAAAAGAAATAGGATTATCAAAGCAGAGGAGGCAGGAAAATGCAAGATCATGTGATTAATTGTTTGATATCAGAAACAAAGAAGTATGTCACTAATGCAGCCTATCCCCATGTCTGATAAGAAGATACCAGTTCCCTGCCTCAGAACTAGCCTTGATCAAAATATGGTAACATCTGACAACCTTAGGTTTCAACCGCTTTGTCATAGTTTATCTTGCCCGCTGATATCAACAAAAGCGCTTTCTTGACCCATATTTTTAACAAACAGGAGACTCTCTGGTCAAGCTGGGAAACGGGGGCCGACAGGGCTTCTTTGCCCTGTGGACTGCTCCTTCCTTTGTCAGTCCATCAGTTTTCTCCCTACCATTTTTGAAGGGTCAGATCAATCGATCAGCTGCGGATGTGTGTACATGTACGTGTGGTGGTCTTTAGTCAGTTCATTGTCTGTCTGTCTGTCTGTCTGTCTGTGTGGAACACTCGAGTGCTGGTACCAGGTTGAAATCAGAAGTAGAAATTCTTGAGAAGTCAGTGATATGCAACTCAGTGATAGAAGGAATGCAGTTGTTTTTGGAACTTGTTAGACAAGGTTTAAATGAAGATTTCTTATCAGAAGGTTGAGCCTACAGGAAAAGCAGAATTCTCGATCTAGATTTCTTATTAGAAGAACATTAATGATTAGTAACAGTTGAAATCCTTTTGAACTTAAGAATCTGTACTATCTAGAAGAGCTGTGGAACTAGAGTCTGAAATTAAAGTGAAATAAAGTTCAGAGAATGCAAGGTTTTATCTTACAAGCCTCAGCCAATTGTAATGAGGAATTTAGCTGTTTTACAAACAACAGAGGTACATAAGCCACTAAAATAAAGTTTCCTCATATTAATTAATAGTTTTCTTATGTTACCATAAACATTGACAGTCCAAGTGCTTTTTCTATGCTAATATCAAAGTTTGGTAAAAACTAAAGGGCTTTTTCTGTGTCTGAAAGTATCTTTGTATTCTTGTGGAATTGGTAAAAGTATCTGGTGTAGAAAGCTTATGCTTGAAATAACTCAGGGACAAGAACTATTGAAATTAAGCCAAAGAGGGTTTACCATGTTTTATATTAATTGGCAGTTCAAAGGTTTTATGCTGTTATATCAATGTACATATTTGTATCTGCATTGGATTAGAATATTTGACCTAGAAAATCTTGTGAGTTGAAATAATGTGGTACATAAAACAGGTTCATGTTTATTTTAAAATATGAGTTTCTAGAGTTATAAAGTTGGTTGCAAAACTTATCCTACCAGTGGTTTTTATTTGATCTCTGAGACTTTTGGTAACTAAAATTTCTAAAGGTACCTAGCAAAGAATTATGAGTGATCTCAGATGTCATCTTGATAGTCTGAAGCCATAGCATTGCACCTTGGTGAAAGTATGAGATAACTGTATTGTTAATCAGCTTGTCCTGTATGTGAAAATGCATGCTATTATTATGATAACTTTATTTCATGCCAAGCTTTGTCTCCAGGTATCAACCTAGTCCTGACCTTCACAGAACTTTGTACACAAGTGTAAAATGCTTTCTGTTCTATGGTAATCTGAGTGTTTAATCTTTTTGCTTTTGTGTTTTCCTAGAAATCAGAATTCTAAAATGTCTCTTGGTTAATTTCTAATGTAAAGTGAACTTTTGCCCAATGAATTTATGTTGTAAGAACTTTAGTTGTGAGCATCTCTAAAGCCTTTTACAATATCTATAGAACTGATGTAATGCTTTTGAAAAGGTACTGCAGAGTATTTTTGTCATGTTAAATGAGATGATTGGTAACTAGTGTCCAAACTTGGGAGATCATGTTGTGCTAAATTCAGTAAAATAAGAGTTTAAACTTGTGGGATGACTCTTGGGAATATAGACGTGTGTCTTAAATCAGAAAGATGATGGATGGATTGTCTGGACTCCTGTTACAGTGCTCTTAGGATCATTGAATTTTTCAAAAGTTGCAGGAAATCAAGGGTTTTGACATGGGATTAAAAACACATGTTAAACGGTATGCTTTATCTCTACAGATTTTAGCTTCTCTGACTAGGACCCACAGCAAACAGGTGTATTACATCTCTGCGAGTAAAGTGAAATGCTTGCTTTTCTCTTCTTTTGTACCTTCAGTATGTTTTTTGATGTTTCATGGCACTATGTTGGTTTGCATAAATCCAGATAAGTCTTTCCTCTCTGTAATAGGGTCTACCCCTCATGCAGACAGGAAAAACCAACTATGGGACCCCAAAGCCCTCTTCCAGGGAACAGTCAGGGGATCTGTCTAAATGACAGGAGCAGGGATTT